GTGTCCTGGAAATTCAGGCCAAAGTAGTCCCTCTCCAGCAGGTTCAGATGGCCACACACCATGTCCAGCAGGGTCTGGCCCTTGGCAAACTTACACACACACACACACACACACACACACACGTAAGAATACACAGCGAGTGGGCAGGTGACACAGTGCAGGTTCAGGTTGTATGAACATCAAGTACTGTGGAAGACAAAAAGAAGAGGACAGAGTGTAATAATGCAAGTGTATTGAAGATGTAAGAAGACACATGCAGCATAACTCCCTTTATCACTCTCAGTCGAAGGGCGATTGGAATTGATACGATTTTACAATATTTACTTTAACTGAATAGAGCATGTACTCATCACAAAGGAATCTCTGTTTTCATTGGAGATTATTAGCGTTTTAGCCAAACAAGACAAAACATCTAACATAACTGGCTCTCCTCTTGACAATTACAACAGATTTGTTTTTCACAGTGTAGCATTATCAAGGGGAAATGGGATGCGTTCAGGTTTATTAGGGCCCATTCTTTCAGTTTTCAATTGATCCAGACAAAATGAAACATGTTACAGTATGCATACTGTATGGCACTGTGCGTGCCAGAAAGCATCTATTAAGGGAATAGATTGACACCAATGAATGCAAATCCAAGGAATGGGACAACCATTAACCAGTTCATCATCAGGGTTATCATCGTTAGCCTTCTTTCTCTTCTTTTGTCTAAATCTACAGGATTTTCAAAAATACCACCAGAAAGATCCTTTTTGAAGAAATAATAATAATAATAAAAAATGTATTTTGTTGTATTCAATATATAATTATTTGAGTGCTCATATTTATTTTATAATCATTTTACCTACTAGACAATTAGTTTTTGTTTTACACATATTTTATAACACAGGAGTGAAAATCTGTGACGTAAAAATCGGCCCAACGGTGGTCTGAAACAGCTTCCCCCCCCCCCCCTCACAGTCCCTCTCTATGCCTGTATAAGGGGAGGAAATGCATTTAGCATCAGTGGCGTTTCAGCAGACCACACCTATTTTCTCTTTAGCCCTTCAGGGAGGAAACAAGCCCACTGTGGGATACACACACTGCCTCGGCAAAATGCTATCTCCACACACATGCACACCAGAGACACACACACACACACAGGAACACACGCCAGATTTGTCTCCTAGGGAAACCTGGCTCCTATGGCGACAAAGCAACCAAGCAGCTGTTACCATGGAAACAGAAGTAATAGGTCCCTTCTGTATGTGCATGTGCCCTCTCTCTCCGGTTAATACAAGGCCACGACAGAGCTTTGTTCAGCTCTTGAGCAGTAGAGAAAGCATATATTTAAAACATTTTCTTACAAAATGAAATTGTAACACACATCTCAGTTGATCCCCCAAGCATGGCAACCAATTCAGGAGCTGCTGATGAGATTTTGTTGTCGCTCCAATTGGCTCCAATCACATTTATGTTACTGGTTCTGTGGGCTAATTGTGTTAGCAGCCATTTGGTGTAATCCTAGAAATCTATTCTGCTGATCGCCTTGCCCATTCAAACAAGATGAGGAGACACATGTGGGTGTTAATGATTTAATGGTTAGCCAAAGAGAAAGTACATCTATTGAACTTAGTCTATTTAACTAATGCAAGGAAAGGGATAGCACTTTGCAATTGATTAACTAGAGGAACAACTGTACAGATTGTTGAGTTTTCCTCATTTTATTAGTATGCAATTTAGTAGCTTGGTTTGGTTCTTGGATATGTTGCTTGAATTGGACAGTTAGGTGAAATGAACAATCCCAACACATGTTCCTGTAAGGCCCCCGGTTGTAATTTTACAACATTACTTTAAGCTATCCTAAAAAAAGTCAGTAAATGTTTTGTTTTTTTAAAGACTACATTTACATAGTCAAAAGGTCCTTTTGTTCAGCCTCACAATGCTATTGGGTAGTAAATGTGTTTATAGGTCCTGCCCTCTGGCCATACACTCACAACATTTCCGAATCTTCAAACGAGCAACATCTCTTTGTTTTATTGGACTGGATTCGTCAGATTCAAGTAAAATGCCTCAAAACAATTTGTTAGTGATTATTACAATGTCTAGAACATGTACATATTTAGTTATTGTGGAATACATTCATCAAATTTAATTTTGAGCAGCTTACCAAAAAGGAGAAAGTGAGTTTGAGATGGAATCAGAGGAAAGTGACACTGATATCAGTGACGAAGAGGCAGATGAAGATGCCTGTGGCCACGTGTACAAGGAAAACCAACAACCCAATGACCCCCATGAAGTTCCGACGCTGATAAGTGTACATCTTCTGGCACACCATCATCCTTGCTGTGATCAACGCCTGGCTCCTCTACAAGCAGGACTGCAAAGCTCTAAAGATGCCAAAGCAGGAGATCGTGAACAGGAGACAGTTTCAGGCAGATCTAGCATCCTCTCTCATCCTGGTAAGAATGCATTTCTGCTATTTGCCGTTTGTAATGTTTTTTTATATTTCACTGTAATATTTTTGACTTGTATCCTAATGTATTTTTGACATGTATATTGATTGATTCTGTTCTAATCAGGTGAACACAACTCCTCTGAAAACACCCAAGAGAGGACGACCATCTTCAGGCAATGGGAGCCCATCACGACAGTGACATCAAGGAGCCCCTTTGTAATGCTCAGAAGAGACATTCCTCAGGTGATGGGAGTCCACCATACGGTTACCAAGTGTGGTAATATGAAAGAAAAATACACACTCTAATTTAAATAGTTTTTATTAGTAAATAATGATGTTCAAAATAAAATAGTCCCTCCGTTGCCTTCTGCACAAAACATAGTGCAAGGTGGTTGCTATGTAACAACACTAACAGCTAGCGAACATATTAGACAGAGAGAGTTGATCGATTATTTGGCTATTTATTTACATTCATGTTGCCATTTATTGTGCACCCACTGAAAACCTGTCCAGCATCAGTAGCATGGCTTACGTGATCACTTGTATAGGTTGAGGTTGTACTAGGCTGTTGCTTGGCGTGGCGAGAATATTGCTCCACTTTCTCCGGTCACCGAGATTGGGCTTCCAGTAGCTCTGGAGAGAGCTTTCGCACCTGTGGCCACTAACGGTCATAATTTCTCTGCTTTGTTTCAAGACCCGCATCAGAAAGCTTTTGAATGGTGCTACTTTTCCAGTTGGTCTACCTGCTCTTCACGTAGCTCTGCATGTCGTCGTTTAGGTGCATTTTTCTTCTGGAGATAGGCACTGCTCAATCCACTCCTCCATAGTAAGGCCACCCCGGAGGTCGAAGTTAAGTAAGGGATAATGTGCAGCGAGGCACTCATTATGGGTAAAAGAACACCCGACAGGCAGATCAAAAATAGTCCGTTGTTACCGTTTGAACTACGTAGCAACGGCAGGAACTGCTTCCATAGCGTTTTTGAGGACCTCTTTGATCACAGATTTGAAAACATCGTTACTTGCTTTAAAAGTAGCACAATTCATTATGTCAAACCTTGGAAAGTATCTAGATATCCCTGCCCTAATGCCAAAGTAACTGGCAACTGAATATGTTTTGCCGTTTGATGTCTATCAGTTAAGGGGGTTGTCGACCCTTAACTGTGATATAATGACCTATACCACGGTCTGTCGTCAGCTATTGCTTAAATATATATTATACACACTGCTCTGCTTTCTGCACGGATCTCACAGCTGTTCTCACTGTAAACATCGCTTCGCGATGAAAGCAGTTAATAAAATAATGGGATGCATGCAGAGCTGTCATTGGCTGCGATAAGTCCGGCCGTGCGTCACGACTCTTTTAACTACACTGTTGCCGGAAATACATCCGCGGACTGGCGTGGAGGACCCATCAGTGTATCCTCGATTATAGCTCCTCCAGAGAGCCTCCTCGATGCTCGATCCTCGAAGTGCATTTAGAGAAATGAGATGTCCTTCAACATGGCGCACTGAAATTCATTTCCGGGTCACTACCAGAGGACCAAGGATTCAAGGAGTCGAGGAGGGGAAATTTGTGAAATGAGAAAGGGCCCAAGAGATCACAACCTCCACTGGATGTACGCAAGGACCTAATGGCACATTTTCCAGTGAAGACAAAGAGAGGACACTGCAGACACTGCAGTAAAGGGTACACAAACACGCAATGCAGCAAATGCAATGTCCGTCTGTGCTTTTCCGACGACAGGAACTGTTTTTGGGACTACCACTGTATTAATATTTAATAAATGACTATTCCTAAAAAATACTACTGATGTGTGATTATTATTCATGGTATACTGATATAGGGCTAAGTAAGCAATCAATCCTGCAAATTAATCCTTAGTTGTTCAATATATTTATTCAAACAATGTGAGTAGAAATACAGAAATTCTGCTCCCACCTAAGGCCAACGTTGCAATATTACAAAATTTCCCTAAAAACATACCAAAACGTAAAACATTTGAAAACTCTTTCGTTTATGCTCCAGAGGCTCCCTAGAACAACATCTGAAAGGTCAAAAAAATTGGGCAATTTGCTATTTTTCAACATCATAGCAGCCGAGGCCAAGATATCCTGACCCCAATCCATCTCCCTAATGAACTTATAAATGCCTTTGGAATAATGTCTTTACAATTCCACATCCTCTCACTTTGTAATTCAGGCTTTATTTGATCATTTTTAAGCCTCCAAGTCGAGATGACCCTGATGAAATCACCAAAGTTATTGTATTATTTTTTTCAGAAATCTCCCTCCAGAACCACAAAAGGCTCATTTTAGCAGGCTTTGTAGAAATCCTACGAATGAGCAAATGAGTCTCATGTGTAATATAGGTGGAAAGCCCCTTTCATGTAACTGTATTTAATTGTATTGATTTGTCAGTCATTACACCTTTTTTAAGCAAATTGTAGTCAATGGAAACTAACATTAGTCTTGTACTTCACACTACACTAAGCAGCGTGGTGGAAAACATGTGAGTGCAATAAACATTTGAGGTTGGAAGAAGCAAATATCTACTGGTTCCAGATAATTGTATTAAAAGATTTAATGAGAAAATCCCAAGTTTGTCTCATAACCACTTGGAAAATATATGAACTTTGTTCTAAAGTCCCAAAACAATAAAAACAGTGAACTTGTTTATCTGTGAGTTAAAAATAAGCCTCTGCTTTAGCACAGCATAAACAAGTCGGTTCTTAGGATGTGGAGCAGTCTATAAGAAATACTGGCCTCCAAACAGACAGCGTGTGCTTCAGTGCAAGTTCTGAAGTTCCCTTGAGCAAGAGGCTGAACTCATCTGAACCTTCAGCGGTGCAGAGAGTGGTGCAGCAGGGAAACATGTTACATCTGTGCTTTTGGAAATGGGAAAGATATTCAGAATCTATTATAGATGAACTGATGTTATCATTCTTTAAGGAGTCGAGGTTGGTCCCTGTGTCATTAACCACATGATCATATGAACCTCGCATTTATGGCGCTGGTGGTTTTCTCAGGAGGCATTTTGAATGTAAGAATGTGGAACACTCTGGATTGTGGGTTTAATGCTTTTATCCTGTGCATATATACGGTATCCAATTCCAAGTATAGGTGCCAAAAATCATAGAATAATAAAGGGGACTGGAAACAGTATACTTGTACATTTCATATTCTATGTATTGGGACATACAAAATCGCAGTTCACATAGCTTTGCGTGGGGAGCCCTGAGTGTAGTCACAAAACTGTTAATTTTTATTATTTCTATCTCTGTCTTAATAAGGTCCTTCTTAAAAAATGTATCAGGTCCGCATCAGAGGCTAAGTTAAGTATCAGTGCTACAGAATGGTTTCCAGATGCCACACGACCCTGGCTTTTCCAATAAAGAGGATCTCCCACAGACATGTGGTTAAAATCAAAAATGATTGTACCATGAGAAATACATTTCATGGGTTGGATCTCAAGAAAATATCTTGTTCAGCCAAAGTCCAAGAAGTTAAAATGTGGGTGGGCCCCTCGTGGTGTTAAGCCAGTTTAATTCAAGAAGTTTTTGGGGAAATGTAAGCTTGTGTGGGATTGTAAGCGTGAAGGTTGGGAAGCACAGCACACAGGTGCTCTAGTTCTTTCTTTAATATTAGGTCTGTAGGTTAAAGACTGGACTAATGCACTGAGCTTAATCAATATCTGTAATGTCGTGAGCCAAACATCAATACCAGGCTCAGGCTGCTTCTTTGTGTTTTTGTCAGGGCACGTTTGCTTATGACTGTCATTAAAGCAGTGATTCCACTGCATTCATCATTATGTGCCTTTTTTCCAATACTTGCATATATACTACGGTACACAAATGAGCCCTCCTGGCGTCTCCATCTTTCTTTCCACCTCCTCTCCCACTTTCTTCATCTTTTCCTCTAAGCCCAAGTGTGTGTGTGTGTGTGTGTGTGTGTGTGTGTGTGTGTGTGTGTGTGTGTGTGTGTGTGTGTGTGTGTGTGTGTGTGTGTGTGTGTGTGTGTGTGTGTGTGTGTGTGTGTGTGTGTGTGTGTGTGTGTGTGTGTGTGATGGGTGGGGGTTGAGTTGAAGGAGAATGTGTGATGCTCCGGTCAGGACTCGTGTGATATATTACTCCTCTCCTAAGTAAAATATGGGAGGTCATGTGAGAGGCAGTAAGCCATAAAAGGAATATAGTGACATGAATGAGTTTGAGTCAAGATGATCATTCCCGTCACACATCACACTCGGTCATTGGCAGCCGCAAATGAGGTTTCAGAGCTGGCTTTAATGTGATCTGTAAGTCCCGGCCAGGATCTCTCTGCTGTATATGGAACAGCCCCTTTGACACCCCCCGCTTTTTCCCCTCCATATCAATTTTCTGCAGTGTTCAATCATTGTGTGGGCCATTGTGAAAGACAAATAAACCCAGAGCTACGCCCGTCTGTTTACAAACACAAAAGGGTTACAGAGTCACGATTCATGGAAGCCGGAGATTGCTCATCTGAGTCTTCCATCCCCCACAATGCAGAGCTTGTGTTACCTCCCTCCACCCGCCCTCTCGCTGAGAAGAGCCACAGAGCTGCTGCTTTTCTGACTCGGTAACGCAAATTACAGAGGGAGACTAGATCCCACTGAGGTGTGCTGTGCTGTGCTGAGTCAAGGGCTCTGTTCAAAAGAGGGATATGTACACCAGCTTCTATGAATGCTGTTTTCCTGCTCACCAAGTCTGTGTGCTTTTGAGCAGCCAGAGAAACAGATTTTTTATAGCACTGCAAAACACAATGTTCAAATCATTATTTCTAATTATGTTTCTGCCTGTTTTGCAGAATCGAATTCTGATGGGGTTTTTTCCCAGGCCTACAGACCATTAAGGAAGATCTCTCACCCTATATTGAATATTTTATTCCAAGAACATAATGAGCCTCTGTGGTTGTGAGGCTTTCAATAGATAGCCAGACAGGACAGTGAAGTTTTATATATTTTCCTGGATCAGTGAAGTATTCAAGTTTCAACCCATATTTTCATCCGATTGATGAAAACATTAGGAGCTATATGGTAATATAATATTAGATGTAGGGGGAGACCAGGCAATCTCTGATACGCAAAAACAGATGTAGAAAACGTAATGGAAATATAGTATTTTAGTTTGTTTCATGTATTTGTTTGAGGCACGTCAGTCTCCTTATTGTTCTACATGTTTTTATCTCCCACTATTTTCATCTCCCTAGAAAAGCAGAATTTTGAGTGATGCCGGCTTCATCAATTTCGTTATATATTCATTAAGTCTGTTTCAATTATTTAGTCTGTATTTTCTTTTATTATTCCCTATACTTGAGCCAAGTGCAATGCCTGATTTGCAATAGTGGGTTTGCTTTTCAAATTAGCTGCATTTTGTACTTATGCTACAATGAAAAATACGCATAACAGGTGACAGAAAATGAATTTACAGGGACCCAAAATGTTGATAATAATCCAACAATGCACAAGAATAGGCTATACATAATGATAGTCATTACGTAGATTATTCAGCCCCTTTCTCAATTCTTGATGATGAAAGTGAGAAGCATACCTCAACCCCAGTTTCATAGACCGAGCCGTCCAGTAGTGTGACTTTAATCGGAACAGCCTTGGGCCGCTTGTTGATCTTCTGGGGGGATCTGGAGGCTTTGCTGGGGGTCTTCTCCGAGTTATCATCCATGTCCCCCTGGTCCTCTGCAGCCTAGGGGAGAGAAATCCTTTCTTTTAAGTGTGTGAGGTTCTTATCCCAGTGCTTTCTCTTCCATTTAAACATTTTCATTCTGAGTCTCAGGGGGCATTGTGTACTTGTCTTTAAGTGATTTAAATCCTAAGTCTTGGATCATGTAAGGCAATCATCTAAATGCATGACGTAGTGTGATCTGCTGCTCTAAGATGTTTTAGTTGCTGGCAGATGCAGAGGAGGCTAGCTTTCTTGCATATCAAACATGGCGGCGGGCCCTGAGTGATTGAGGGGCCTAAGTGAAATGATGTACAGCTGCTGTGAGTTCCACAGCTCTCTCACCTGATTGGTTCTCATGGCGTCACCCTCCATTGCACTCTTCAATCCCCCAGCCAAAGCCGTCTCTGTTGTCATAGAAATGGATTGCAGTCCTGAAACCACACATAAATGCAGCAGTCAACATCAACACAATTCCTGTTTTAGGGTTTACTGCGGCTGTAATCTAGCTACAGTTTCCTGATGGTCTCATGAGATGTGAGCAAAAAATGTCCAATCAGTGCACTGCATTAAAAAATATTCACTTAAAATGAAATTTTCGTGTAAAACCTGCAGAAGAGATACCTGTCTTTACATCACCTGCATTACGTCTTTGCACCTGACCGCTGCTTTATAGTGTCTGTAATTAGCCTGAACAGCTATGCACATTTAGTGTCTTCCTCCCATGCATGGTCATTGCAGTGTGCATGGGAGATGGATAAAGAGAGGGGGGGGGGAGCTCAGTCGGTGCTGGCTCACAGCCTCCCACAGGAGCACTCTGCATGAAGAGTGTTGGCTTCAGGACGCTCTCCTCTCACACTAGCAAAAGGAGATAGCATAAATTACATCAGCCAGAGGGGCCCTGCGGCACGGCACAAGACGGCAGACACACTGAGAAT